AAAAAAAAAAAGCGAAGTAGTCCTCTTTTATTTTTTTATTTTTTATTTGTTGATTAGGGCCGGAGGAAAGTATTGTTGGGTTGGTTTCCTACCTGCGTGTTCCCTCCCACCCACCCTTTGCATGCATTTTCGGGTTGGTACAGTGACACGTCAGACACAGTGCCACGTAAGCAGTGCCACGTCAGCAGTGCCACGTAAGCAGTGCCACGTAAGCAGTGCCACGTCAGACACAGTGCCACGTCAGACAGTGCCACGTGAGCAGTGCCACGTAAGCAGTGCCACGTCAGCAACATGGCGGGCCTGCCAGGCCAATTGGCCAATGAGCCCATTGCCGACTACAAAAAGCGCTTCCAGGCTCAGCTCGCTGCAATCGAGGCTGAGGAACAACGCCAGCTGGCAGTCAAGGCTGCCCAGCTACAGGCTGAAGAAGAGGCAACAGCAGAGAGGCTGCGGCTACAGGCCAAACAGACGCAGATGCCCAGGCTCGCCGCAAGGAAGCCCAGGATCTGCTGCAGCGGCATGAAGCCAGCAACAAAGACAAACTCAAGTTCCGACACTTTGAACCGAACGGCGACGAACCAACACCGGAAGAGAAGCATAAGGAGTTCATGGCCAAGCTCGTGACCAGGTTGGTTTATACTTGTAACCACCTACAGTCCGAGCTGGCGAACCTCCAGCGGGCCGTGCGGAACCATAAGACTCAGCACAAGGATGCCACACGGGCACTGGATGCCCGTGTACTAGACCTGGAACAGGCTGTCCCAGGACCAGATGCTGGGGCTTCCAGCAGTGCATCCACTAGTCGCCAACTGGAGGAACGCGTTGACCACGTAGTGGCAATGCTAGGAGACATAAGTGCCTTCACAGAGCCGGCCACCATCAGCCAGCGGTTGGAGTTGCTGGACACTAAGATCAGTCAGCAACAGCCGACCGACCACAGCCACAACAACAGCTCGGCAAGGCCATACAAGATGCCGACATTCCGGATCGAGAAATTTGATGACTACACACATCAAGACCCGGTCGTCTGGTGGCAAGGATTTACAACGGAGTTGGGGATCCACGAGGTCCCTGAGCATCTCTTCATCAGTGCTCTATTCGTCAACATCAAGGGAGGATGTCAGATCTGGCTCAGCCACATGGCAACCATCCACGGCGTCCAAGTTTCAGACCTGCATAAGAAGGTCACCTGGGAAGATATGACAAAGGAATGAAAGAAGCGGTTCATAGTGGATGACGTACCCTCGCTCGCCATCAACCGCATCTTCGCGATGGCTCAAGGGAGCACACCGACACGTGACTGGCTCACAGATTGGCAGAAGATCGTGGCCACACCCGATCTGAACTTGCCATTTCAGTATCTGCGTCGTGAGTTCTACAACAGGTCATGCGCCGCTCTCAGCCTTGCACTTGGTGATCGCGAGCAATACAACACTTTCGCAGAGATCATCAACAAGGCGAGAGAGATCATCAAGACCAACAGGGCGGCCGCACACGAGAAGTCAACGTGGCAGCCAACCTATGTGGAGAAGGTACGAACTGGTCCGCGACAGCAGCAGTTCGCTGCAGTCCAATCGGACAGTGGAGAAGACCCAGCAGCCACTCCAGCATCACGTTAGGGAGATCAGGTGGCTGCTGTCCCCGTGAAGCAACAAGCCTCGAGTGAACGGGAAGGCAAAATCAGCATCGCAGGCCGGAAACGGACAGCCAGCACCACCATGGGTCAAGTTCGGCTTGACCGAGGCCGAGTAGAAGTACCGCAACCGTTACGGCTGCTGTTACTGGTGCAACAGCACCAAGCACAAGACCTCCATTTGCCAAGATCAGGCCAAGGAGGATGTGCGGCCTCGTCTTAACTCGGGAAACTGAGTTGGGCAGGAGGTGACGCGACTCCACCTCTCACTCCGCCAGATTCGGCCGCCTTGCTAGCGGCCTCCTACACATCTGGGGAGGATGCGCGTGTCGCAAGTCCTCGGTACAATTACGAGGATTATGATGTCCACTTGGTCCCACCGCTGGACCAACCGCTCCACGTGCAACAATCTACCGCATGCACGGTTTCATCACCATCGGCAACCGATTCGGCAGCTTCACCGCTATCTATCGTCGGGGATTCATCGTCGTGGTCAAGACTTGAGGTGCTCGACCCACTGGCGGTCACGGACTTCCAGTGGATGCCCGTTCCCCAGACCGGACGATTGCCGAAACCGCATTGCAATGTGCTCATGGCACAACTGCGAGATTACTTGCACACTGCAGTACCAGCTCCGTTGATGGACGCCGGAGTAGAGGTTGTCGACCTTCACGCTTACATTGCGAAGATCGACCGCGAGTTCAAGACGCAACGGTACGACGACATCGGCGCACCATTGCTATATGTACGCATTCAGATCGGAGAGGCGACCTGCAACGCCTTGATCGATTGCGGAGCATCTCGCAACTACATTATCCAGGACTTCATGGTGCGCGCCGGCCTTGGTCCACGTGTCCGGAGGAAGTCCCAGCCTACGCAAATCACTTTGGCATACGGTCATACGCACAAGTCCATCGACCGGTGCATTGACGCCGTCCCCGTGTACTTTGCCCCTCACGCAAGTGAGGCGGTGTCCTTTGATATTCTGGACACCAAATTTGACATGATCTTGGGCATGTCATGGCTGCGAAGCGAGGATCACCCGGTGAACTTCTTCCACCGCACCGTTCACATTCGTGATCGGAACGGAGTATTAGTTCCATGCACGGTACCTCTTCCTCATCCTTCGATCAGCTGCCACGTGGTATCCGCCGCAAGCAAGCGAGCATCCGTCATCAGAAACGACATCGAGGAGATGGGGGTGTGTTTTCTCCACGCCCTCCCGCCCCGAGACGCTTCATTGTCGGACTCGTCTTTGGATCCACGCATCACCGAACTTCTCGACGCCTACAGCGACGTGTTCGAAGGTCCGCACGGAGTAGTACCAGATTGGCCCATCCGCCACGAGATCATCCTCGAGGACGGGGTCGTACCTCCGCGTGGCTGCATCTACCGAATGAGCGAGGAAGAGTTAAGTGTGCTCCGTGCACAACTCGACGATCTTCTAGAGAAAGGCTGGATTCGGCCTAGCTCATCGCCATACGGTGCTCTTGTCCTCTTCGTCCGGAAGAAGAACAAGGACCTGCGGTTGTGCATCGATTATCGCAAGCTCAACGCGCAGACGATCAGGAACGCCGGCCCTCTCCCACGCATCGACGACCTTCTCGAGCGATTGGGCGGCGCCCAGTTCTTCTCTAAGCTGGATCTCAAGTTAGGGTACCACCAACTCGAGATTCGCAAGGAGGATCGCTACAAGACCGCGTTTAAGACACGGTATGGGCATTTCGAATGGTTGTTCATGCCGTTTGGCCTTACGAATGCCCCAGCCACTTTCCAAGCGGCTATGACAACGGAATTCCGACACATGCTGGATCGGTTTGTACTCATCTACCTCGACGACATCTTGGTGTATAGTCGAAGTTTGGACGAACATGTGGAACACCTGCGCACCGTTTTGGAGCGGCTACGACAAGCCAAGTACAAAGCAAACCGCGACAAGTGCGAGTTCGCACAGCAGGAGCTGGAATACTTGGGACACTATGTGACGCCGTAAGGCATCCGTCCGCTTGCGGACAAGATCGAGAACCTACGAGTATGGCCCGAGCCCACCAACACCACGAACGTTTGTTCATTCATGGGATTGGCGGGCTACTATCAGCGATTCATCACCGGATACTCCAGGATTGCTGCACCTATAACGAGGTTACAGTCGCCAAAGGTGCCATTCGTATTCGATAACGCCGCACGCCGGTCATTCCAAGCACTTAAGACGACTATGCTCATGGCACCCATCCTTAGCATCTATTACCCCACCCTGCCGACGCGAGTGACTACGGACGCTTCCGGCTATGGCATTGGGGCAGTCTTGGAACAGCACGACGGCGATGACTGGCGCCCTGTGGAGTATTTCAGCCACAAAGTGCCTCCCATCAACTCGCTTGATGATGCAAGCAAGAAGGAGCTGCTCGCATTCGTCATGGCTCTCAAGCGATGGTGGCACTTCCTCCTTGGGCGTTGTAGGTTCACATGGGTTACAGACAACAATCCATTGACTTACTACAAGATGCAGGATACGGTGAGCAGCACGATCGGACGATGGATGTACTTCATCGACCAATTTGACTTCACACCGAAACATCTGCCCGGCCTCTCAAATCGCACAGCAGATGCACTCTCGCGAAGACCCGATCATTGCGCTATGACACATCATGCCTTCGCATTCGACGAGGAGCTTCAGCGACAGTTCATCCGGGCATATCAGTCTGATCCGAACTTCGGCACGCTCTATGCACAGCTATCTTCGGATCACCCGCCGGCCAGCCATTACCGCATTGCCGACGGGTACTTGCTCCTCCACTCGAGAGGCAAGGACTTACTATGTGTCCCATGCGACCGTCATCTTCAGACTCGCCTCCTTGGCGAGTATCATGATTCACGACTCGTCGGCCATTTCGGAGTCAACCGCACTATTGCACGGCTTCGACATCGATTCCGATGGCCCGACCTCATTACCGATGTCACTCGGTATTGCGACTCTTGTGAAGTTTGCCGACGCAGCAAGCCCCGCAACCGCAATCCCTACGGCGAGTTACACCCGATGCCTATCCCACGGGAACCCGGTCTCTCCATTGCCATGGACGTCACCGGTCCGTTTCCTCGCGACCGGCTCGGGCACGACGGCATCCTCACGGTTGTGGACCGATTGAGTAAGTACGCGCGTTTTCTCCCTTGCAAGTACTACTCCACGGCTCCCGAGCTGGCACGCCTCCTGCACACTGGTTGGATTTGTGGCCACGGTGTACCAGAAGACATTGTCAACGACCGCGACACTCATTTCATGTCGGTGTTTTGGACTGCTCTCATGCACGAGTCCGGCACAACAATGAAACCAAGTTCGGCTCGACATCCTCGGACAGACGGGCAAACGGAGCGGGCACATCAAACCGCTCAAATGATGCTTCGTACGCTCATTCGTCCGGACCAGAAAGATTGGGTTGACCGCCTCCCCGACATCGAGTTCGCCTACAACACTTCGGTGCACCCGGCGATCGGCGTGACTCCATWCGAGTTGCACCACGGTGGACGGAAAGGCCGCATCTTCGCCAACCTTCTCCTCCCTCGACCAGCCGACATTGACGCCGCTTGCTCCCCCGCTTCCGTTCCGAAGTACAGGGACTTGCTGACTCAAGCCTGCGCAAATATGCAAAAGGCTCAAGTTCGCATGCAGCAGCAAGCCAACAGGCGTCGCGTACCATGTCCCACTATTAGGGCTGTTTGAATAATACTCGAATAGAAAACAACCTATGTGCTGTATTCGTGGACAATGCATATGTGTTACGTTCGGGGGAAAACGGTAGAAGTTTAAACAAAGGTAGAGGGGAAGAGGAGAGGAAGAGGAAAGCTTCAACAAAATTGAATAGTCGGTGAATACAATAACACGGTTCTCCCACCTTCCTTCCAACCTCCAGGATTCTTCGTCTCCTTGCTCGCCACCTCATTGTTCCAACCTAACCCTCTAAAGATGACGAAGCTGATATTCCTTCCAGCAGCAGCAACTCGCCAACACATCAATCATACTTCTAGCGCAATATCAACTGGGGCTATGGAGGTTGGTGTTCAAAACCAGCCCCTCGGGCGCCCTAAGAGACCCTTAGCAAGGTGCTGTCTCTTTAGCCATAATCTTCATCAGGTAAGTCAGGTAAGCCTCTCTTTCTCACTCACCTCTCTGGGCGGGCTTGGTCTCCCTCAACCTCACTCTCTCTCTACCTCTTAAGCTATGGCTCAAGGTGCCCACTACTCTAGCTATGGCTACCTGACACTCACTCTTTCTTAGCTCTCTGTCCACCCCCTCTCTGCGCCAGTGCTCTTAGAAGCAGCAGTCCAGCCTGAAGGCAGCACGGGACAGAATGAATGAACCAACTGAGGCCGGCCGTTCTCTTGTAGTATTGACTAGGCCTGGCCTGCCTCCTCTCTTGCCTCCTCGAAAGGCATAGACTTCTCGATCCGTGTGGCCCAGATTTGTTGATGGCCAGTGTGTGCCTTGACACNGGCCTGGCCTGCCTCCTCTCTTGCCTCCTCGAAAGGCATAGACTTCTCGATCCGTGTGGCCCAGATTTGTTGATGGCCAGTGTGTGCCTTGACACTGGAATCTGCACGGAGCCCTTGGATGTGTGTGAGATCTGTGGCCATGATTGAGTCCTGAGGAATCTTTGACTCTCTGACTACTGTGCTTGAGTTGGACCCTCCCGTTGATGCATGTCCAGACTTCACTCACGTGTGGTGTCCGCACTGATCGCTCGGATGAGCGTGAGAACCTGTGTCTAGCGTGGTATCTGTGCTGCGCATCCAGACTTCGTGACCAGGAATGAACGGAGCACCAGTTAGGCATGCTCCTGAGTCCTAACTAGTCTACGTGCCCCAGGGGATCACTGTGTCCCCTTGTTGCCCAGGGGAAGACAAGGGAGTGCAAGCGCAACACAGCTGAAGACAAGGGAAAGCAACACCTCCCAGCTCTCCAGTGTGGCAGCAGTTCAACAGCAGGTATGCTGTCTTTTTTTTTTTTTTTTTTTAGCAGGTATGCTATCATTCCTATCCTCAGCGGCCGTATCCATGCAGTTGGGAGGGATCTGGTCAACCTTCCACGCCAGTACACTGGCAGACCGATCTCACCTCCCTATCAAGAAATGCAGATCCAGTTCAACAAAAAAAGGGAAAAATGTTCCCTCCTTCCGGACATCCRTTAAAATTGGAACGATACAGAGAAGATTAGCATGGCCCCTGCGCAAGGATGCATCAATCGAGAAATGGACCAAATTATTTTTTGAAAAAGGGGTTCTCGACAGGATATGCATTTGGGATGTGGACGATCTTTCCTATCAGCATGCTGGCAGATTGATCCCACCTCGATCCGACCTCGTTGGCGCCGAAGAATCTTCTGAGACAAACCGTTGGGCAAAAACCACAAGAGACAACCTGAAGCCGAAGAATCTTCTGAGACAAACCGACCTTCACAGAGACGGCTGGAGTGTTTTCTGGTTGTCTCGTTGTATCTGTAGGCTAGTATAGGTACTGAGTAGTAGTAGGCTGGGCGCTGAGCGCCAATTGAGAAGAGTGGCATTGGATACATTGTTGATGGTGGCGAGTTGGTGCTGACATTGACAATTGGGTTCACTACATTGCTCTTATTTGGCTTATATCTCGGTGCATACGACTTTCTGCTTGGTACACGACTATCTGGTATTCAATGTGATGTTGCAATTTGGTTTTCTGTCTATCGCTCTCACTCATTTTCCTTGCAATGGCYCCTTCACAAGAAAAAAGAMAGAATGGAACCTYAGYCATAAGCCTGGAGTTMAAAAAKAAAGACASAGAGAGAAAAAGAATGAATGCTTGTGAGGGATATCCTTGGAGACAGATATATCAGGCAATTCACGACAGTGAACTCAGAGGGACATCACAGGCTGTCTTTTGATGATTGTTTCATGGAAGAGCGTAGGGTGACTCCTGGGAGGRGGGAGGGTCTTGCTCATGGCATGGGCTCACCTGAGAGTCAATCCCTCCAGTGGAATCCATCAATGCTGTCAGGATTCCCGGGGCCATAACATGGTGAAATGTTCTGAGTGGGTATTGCCTTTGATCTGGCAAAGAATAGATTACTGCCCAAACCCCCCTCCATCGCTCCTCCGTCCATGAGCCCAATTCCTGGTCTGGAATCCACCGCCATTTCCCCCAACCTTTCTTTAAATTCCGCAGCAATATCATATTATGGCAGGTGGGCCAAGTGTACTCTGTAAAGTGCGTAACTTACTGTTGAGAAGCTCACAATTTCGACATCATGCATGTACTCAAGATTGCAGCAGGCCTAAAGTAGACGACTTTCTTCCCCCGAACATAACACATATGCGTTCTATTCGAGTTWAAAAAAAATCGTTGACTGAACAGAACACATAGGTGTTGTAGTCGAATATTAGGGCTGTTCGAATAATACTCGAATAGAAAACAACCTATGTGTTGTATTCGTGGACAATTCATATGTGTTACGTTCGGGGGAAGACGGTAGAAGTTTAAACAAAGGTGGAGGGGAAGAGGAGAGGAAGAGGAAAGCTTCAACAAATTGAATAGTCAGTGAATACAATAACACGGTTCTCCCACCCTCCTTCCAACCTCCAGGATTCTTCGTCTCCTTGCTCGCCACCTCATTGTTCCAACCTAGCCCTCTAAAGATGAGGAAGCTGATATTCCTTCCACCAGCAGCAACTCGCCAACACATCAATCATACTTCTAGCGCAATATCAACTGGGGCTATGGAGGTTGGTGTTCAAAACCAGCTCCTCGGGCGCCCTAAGAGACCCTTAGCAAGGTGCTGTCTCCTTAACCATAATCTTCATCAGGTAAGTCAGGTAAGCCTCTCTTTCTCACTCACCTCTCTGGGCGGGCTTGATCTCCCTCAACCTCACTCTCTCTCTACCTCTAAGCTATGGTGCAAGGTGCCCACTACTCTAGCTATGGCTACCTGACACTCACTCTTTCTTAGCTCTCTGTCCACCCCCTCCCTGCGCCAGCGCTCTTAGAAGCAGCAGTCCAGCCTGAAGGCAGCACGGGACAGAATGAAAGAACCAACTGAGGCCGGCCATTCTCTTGTAGTATTGACTCGGCCTGGCCTGCCTCC